TAGCCAATGTGTTAGGCCGCTAAAAGATGCCTACTTATTGCTACCAACCAAGTCGTCTTTTTTCGAAAACTATAAAGCTATTCAGACAGGGTCACGTTGGAACCTCCAGCAGTGTAGAGCATGTACGATACTCGGCAGTAACTCGTTTACTGTTCGAGGACACACAAAAATGCAATATTGTTTGTATTTCGAATAATTTTGTTGCCTATGATATTCTCCGAACCAACATACAGCTTCGCCGCAACCGCACATAGATTTCAGCGGGCATATAACATTGTTACGTCAGGACTTGCGAATAGGGCAGACAGTGCTGAGTCGCGAGCACGCTCTGTTGCAGTTTTACTATGCATCCCTTTAACTGTTGCCGCCTTTGCGCTGCATCTGTGGACCTTTCACAATTTAATAATCCCCCAATCTTCCCTCCGTGTCCTTCACTCGACAGTTGCTCAACCAAAGCTTCCATCATCTCGGTTCCTCCCCCAGCGTCAATTCTCTGGCATCCACTGTAAATGGCCTCTCTCTCTCTCTCTCACATACTTTGATGTGCTAATACTCTTTCCTTGCCCAGTAGAAATACCTCACCGCCAAAATACGCTGGCACTTTGTCTTAACCGGGTCGTGAATAACCAGTGTTTTGTTTTCTCTCTTGGCTTGCTTAACCGTCTGTCTTTTGGCTTCATGTTTGGCTGGAACAGCATGTGTCTTCTCATTGTCCTTTGTATGAACGCTAACTGAATGAAAAGCTATCCCAGTCACTGGGTTTAAGAAGCCGACTGGGGAGGCTAGCGGAAGTTACTTCGGTTAAAGGTAATCTTCCCTGTGTTGAGTTTACTAGTCAGTGGACGTCACTTAACCAACTTGTATTCTCACATTAGGTAGGGGCAGCTTAAAAGACTCCCAGCCGGACATAGGAACAGGCACTGTCCTCAATGCAGGTGGTCTTACGCTAAATTCCAGGGAAATTACAGTTGAAGTGAGATTTTGGATTGATAATAGGATTATGGTGAAGATGAAGTCTACGGTCAAGCTTCGAGGTATGGTTAGTACTAGGGCTAAAATACCGTAATACTTATCCTTCCTGGAATTTAGCACAAGAGTACCTCTATTATTTGGAGAGGAACGATCATACTCCCGTTTTCTTTCGGAGGCCTTAATAGACAATCACGACCTGACACTCTTCTAAGGTGTTTAGATGTGGTTTGTGGAGTTGTAAAAATTATTTTCCTCCTTGTAGGTTCTTAAACATAAGTATTTTCCACATGATTTTTTCTTGCTTGCACCCATTTATTTCTTCAGGAATCTGCGAGGTGGTCCTCTGGTGTTTATATTATATGAGTCTAACGATCTTTCATGATTTGTGCCTTTCAAGCACAATAAATCGACTCTCTGGACCTCAAGTTAGGTATACACGCATACAAACATCGCCAAATATATCATAGTGTTATCTTTGTTGAGTCAAAGCCAGTTTTCAGGCAAAAGCTGAAGGGTGTGTAATTTGCTAAAGAATAACTATTAGAAATGAGTACTTTATTTATCAGTTAGATGATATAGGGTTAAATTAGGTAGGCGCATAATTAAAATGGCAGGACATCATGCAAGTGCTCTTCTCCTTCTTCGTGGTAGGCTTAAAAGTTATTAGAAGATTATCTAATGAAAGGGCGGCAGGTGAATAATATTACTGTTATGTTCTACGTTGATCGATATTTAAAGTACCCCATCATAATAGCTTCGAATTGAGAGTTTTTTTTAATTTGGGTTCATGTTTCCTGAGTTATCGTCCATACTGCATGTGGCAACAATCACGCGATTTAGGCAGATAGTGCCAGAAAAGAAACTAAATTTGTTTGACCGCCTAGACAGGTGTTACGCATTGAGGCGGAAACCTGTGATCCAGGCGACGGATGGATCATGTCACCAGTCTGTCTTTAGTTTCCCGCTAGGCTGTTTGGCATCAACATTTTGGCAAAGTATGCCTATGTAGTCTCATAATTCAGCTTTGACTTTCGCCTGCCAAATGAAGCTCGTCATCGCTGTCAGTATTTTTTGCATGGAATGACCGGCTGTACTTTATGTGTTTGCTTGATCGCTAGGGATAGGTTATAAGTATCAGCGAAGTAACCCCAAACTCCACAGTTATATTCCACGGGACCGCTGTTAAAAGTAAAACTTTTCCCATGTTCAGATATTATATCAATTAAACAACATATTTCAATAAGAACCAACTATTAAAATTAACGAAAGACGTTTTAGTAATACTATGTATCCGGTATTTCTCAGGATCCACATATCTTCTATCCTTATCGCTTGATCTATGCTGTGGGTATTTGCTCGCTAATGCAGGCTGTCGATTGCTCCGACCGATATCACGAATGCCGTGATGACCCAGCATCGATAACTACCAACCAACTTAAGGGCTGTGTAGGGTGTGATGCGAAAGTTTGTGTCACCACATTCTACAGATCACTTCTGTCACGCGCTTGATAAAGGCAATCCTCTGTCCGACTGCCAATCAGGGCTCATTTTCGCCTCAAAGCTGGTCACTATTCGCACTGTGAGCGACTTTTGGGCACGGTTACCGCGTGATTTTTGGATGGCTAAAGTCGCGATTCCGTGCTCTCATATAGTCACGGCGTAGGGCATATTAGGGAAACCTAACCCGTAATAACCACTTTAACTGCTATAAGACAGTTTCCTAAATGATGAAACATTAATTGCATTATCATTATCGTTAAGACGCTTTGATTAAGCAACAAGCTGCCTAATTTCGCAAAGTTTATATACCACGCGTGTTGATCAAACAAGCTGGTGACAGTTCATGTCATTTGAGAATGACTCGATTGATAGGCTAATACTCCTGATAACATGCATGTAGATCGGCGGTCTTTTGGGCGAGAATAAGTTAGGAAAACTGCTAAATTCAAAAAGGTATACCGGACGAATTTACATCAATAAGTCGGCAAGAGTTCTTTATGAACACCATCATAGTTTACTATGCATAACTGACTACTTATTTCCTTGTTGTTTATCATTTGGTTTAATTATGATTTAGCTTTATTCGTTTTGGTTTAGTTTTAGCTTTATTAGTTTATAGTTTATTAAGTTTGGTACGCAGTAAGCTATATATGGTAAACTGTGGTGATGTTTATAAGGGACCTTTTACTAATAAGTCTGATTAAGACTAAGACTATAAGTCGAACTCAAAAATTAAATAAAATTGTAAAGGTAGAATACCAATTAATTCGATTGAAACGCGTCTTATTCTAAAAGCATTTTCTAAAGATTGCTCAGCTGTGACAGACTATATAGGTGTTTTTGCTTGAAATAGTCAAGTACAACAACTATACCGGAAGTGTTTTCAGGTTTTATTTAAGCTCCGGCGGGCTTGGAAATAAATGCTTGCGATACGGCTGCTAACCATATTTTACAAGATAATGAGCCGTAAAATGGCAAAATATTTCGGGTCGGAGCAGAGAGATTGTTGCTAAAATCACTGGCAACGATTTCCGAGAGATAGGTATTACTAAGCGAATCCCGTGTTCAGCAACCAGGCGCTGGAGGTTTCTGGACTTCATCATGGGCTTTTTAAGCGTTTTCTTTATAAACATAGATTAAATTACGTCTTGTTTCTGATAATACCTAATGGCGTTCTGCAGTGGTTGTTTGTTTTTTCAGCTGGAGCTAAGACTTGAGTCTTTAGCTTGCTAAATATATTTGATGGTTAAGGGTGGAACACTTTTTATTTGTTGCTGCATTGTGTGTCCTTAATAACAAGTGTATCTCAACACGATCATAACACATTTCACCTGCTAATTATAATTGTCAACAGAGAAGTAAATATGCTGGGGCTTTGACCGGTAGCCTCAGCTTAAAGTTCGCGTAGCATTTTGAATGTTCAGGAGTTTATTGGCGCAAAGCAGGCGAAACTAACAAGGCATAAAAACGCCACCTAGTCGAGACTAGTACTGATTCGCACACTAACTAATGTAGGCCAGAACCCCGGATTTTAGTTGATAGATTTCTAAGCAATCCACAATGATCTTATTAAGGAAAACTCAGTATCTACACAGTACACCTTTTTCTCATTGGCTTTTGATGCTTGTCCAATTTTATTATAATTCCGTGAAGGAGTACACAAAATGAAACTTCCTATGAGTATGCTGGCTTTGGGTGCATACAAGATTTTTTGATTCCACCAATCAGCATTT